TTAACAATTCTATGTTTAATCAGGCTAACGTGGAACCCATTTGTTAGACCCCAAAGCACATACCATTTTCTCCCACATGTTGGTACTCCAACTTTCTCTATTTTCTGTTTCACAGATGCCCACACAGATTAACTTTCAGAGTGGAGCCCTCACATCCCCATGTTTGCTATTCAGCAAAGCATTGCCAAGCATTAGATGTGCTGAGATGGGGACTTAATCTTCTCAGGCTCAATTAAAATGTCAAATTCAATTAGGATGGTTACTCACAGCATGCATATGACACAGCAGAAATCAGTATTTTGCTTGCAAGTTCAGTGACATTTCCAAGACGTTGAAAGTGAATTACACTTAGAAATTTACACCCATCTCAGGATAGAGGATCATCTGTTTCATTAAAGCAGCTCTAAATGAATTGAGGACAAGGAAAGGTAGAACTCCTGAGTTTAAGCTCAGGAATTAAACTCAGGAGTTGAAACAGACTTTAAATTTACATAGGCACTTCTCTGATAGAAATCCCCTGCTTCTGGTACTTCCACATTTCTCTCTCTCCTCTTTCTGTCTCTCCCTTACCCCACTTCCTTTTCTCTTTCACCTCTATCTCTTCTACCTAATACACTAATACCCATGGCCTGTGTGTCTAGATGCTTAATTCAGCACAATTTTGCAGATCCAGCTTCGGGACATGAAACAGATTACCTGGGTTAATTCAGAGAAAGGTGTCTTTCATGTCTCACAGAACACAGATTTTGAGTTAGATGGACCAGGGATTCAAAACCAGGCTCTGCAAAATTACAGGATGCAGACAAGTTACTAATTTCACTGAGCCTCAGTTTTACCACCAGTAAAATGGGGATATTGATTCTTCTTTATGGAATTGAAAGACTGGAGAAAACATATGAAAATTCTAGGACTATACTGGCTAAGAATAGACGTTCAATGAATATTTGTTCCCTTCCTTTTCTTCCTTCCCTGCCCTGATGTGGTCTGTTTTGTTGCAAAGCTTCAGTGAAGCTAGGTAACTGCTTCCACACCGAATGCTTTCCCCTGGATGAGAGCTGACTATGTCCCCACTCCTACCACCTTAAAAATAGATTTTTGTCTTTCAGGACAAATCAGACAAGAAGTTCTGTGGAATTGCAAGGATTGTGTAAAAACTGAATCAACCTTGAAATAAGACTATAACTATTGTATTTCTTTTCAAAACTTCCATGTAAACAATTTAATTTTAGATTTTATTTATCGTCGCTTTCGTAATTGAAACCAGAGGTTACTCTGTGAATGATGAGAAATGTCAGTGAGCACAGGCACAGCTAATGAAGAGAATTCCCTCTGGCTCTGGAGCAAAATACCATGGACGCTTAACTCATGTCCCCAAGCTGGATCTGCAAAATGTGCTGAAGTATGTATCTAGACCCAGAGCCATGGGTATTGGTGTATCAGGTAGAAAACATAGAGATGGGGCGGGGAGAGAGAGAAGAAAGTGGGGGAAGAGAGAGAAAGAGACAGAGAGCGAGAGAGAGAGAGAGAGAGAGAGAGAGAGAGAGAGAGAGAGAGAGAGAGAGAGAGAGGAGAAGAGGGGGAAGGGAGAAAGAGAGAGAAACGTGAAGTACCAGAAGTGGGGGATTTCTATCAGAGAAGTTCCTATGTAAGCATCAGCATTCTCTGTAACTCCTGTTATCTCCACTTTCCCTGATGACTAGGGTATGTCTGACTTTCCCTATATCAGGCTGTGAGTCTAGCTTGGGTCTGGAGACTTGGGCCATCTCTAAAAGACTGGTGACATTTCAGAGCTAGTGAAGGATTTGAAGGTGCTGTGCTGGTTGCCTGGCAATTTGGCGTAGTGGGGGACTGCAGGTTTGTCTCTCAGGATACCAGATGCCTTCTTGGTTCTGGATTACACCCTCTCCCCACCGCCCCTGTCCCTGGTGACATAGAGGAATCCATACTCCCTGCTTTCCTCATGGTTATTCCTCATGTTTTGGATCTGTGCAGTGCTGCTTTCTACCACCGCAGCCCCCCGAAGGACTATGAAAACTTCAACACTGGACGAGAACAACCAAAGACAAGATCATTTTGTAAGAGACAAAAAACATTGTAATCAATCCAGGTAAAGGCACGAATCACTAGAAACGTAATTCCTTACCATTTCTCTTTGTGAGAGAAACAACTTAGTATTTCTTGCCTGTGCATTCATGGCATATTTTTCTAACCCACATTCGTATGCACCAAGAGAAAGAACGCAAGAGATCCAGTGAGCTTTTCTGAATGTCCAGTCTGTGAAGTCATGCTACCAGATTCCTTCAGGAATATTGATAATCTTTAAAGAAAACTGAGCACTAAGGAAGTCATTGCCTTCAGTATCTCAAAATATTCACAAAAGTTTTAAATTAGCATTAAAAGTTAGACAGAAGTGAGAGAGAATTTTTTAATGACCATTTGTGCTAAGACTGTCAGGTTCTTTAAGAAAACCCAAGTGAATTCTTACCAGAGGTGAAATTTACTCTCTGGCTGAGGACACCAGAGAATAACACATCACAGGGTGATTGGGGATGGGCTTATTGCACAGATAAATGTTGCTGATGTTTCAGGGGCAATATGAGACTCATCTCTGGGCATGCCAGTGTAGACTCAAATACAGAATCCTGGGCAACACTAATATAAACTAGAAATAAGGACTCTCAAAATGTGGAACTGGAGACAATTTCTTCCACGTGATTCTTTCTAAAGAATGTGAGAAGATCACCTGAGCTTCGGGAGGTCGGGGCTGCAATGAGCTGTGTTCATGCCCATGCTCTTCAGCTTGGGAGACAGAGTAAGACCTGTCTCAAAAAGATAATAATAGGACATGTGTGGTGGCTCATACCTTTAATGCCAGAACTTTGGGAGGCCAAGGCAGGTGGATTGCTTAAGCCCAGGAGTTTGAGGCCAGCCTTGGCAACATGGAGAAACCTTGTCTCTACTGAAGACAGTAAAGTTAACCGCCGTGGTGGTGCGCGCCTATAGTCCCAGCTACTTGTGAGGCTGAGGCGGGGGGATCACCTGAGCCTCCTGAGTGGCTGGGACTGCAGGCATGCACCACCACGCCTTACGAACTGCACTCCAAGGTGCAATTCGGACGCATTGTGGCTATGGATCCTCTTTGTATCAGTATGTTATTTTAGTCAAATCATTGAACACTTTCGCATTCTTCTTAGGAACAAATCTGAAAGTTTCTATCACCAGGCCTGACAAAAAGTCCCTCAACAATTGTTGGTTCTCTTTTTTCTGTCTGCATAATTTTGACTCCCCAGGGCTTCTCTTTTCCTGCTGGCTGACGTTTGTCATATACTGTGCTCACCCAAATGAGTTCAGACCCACGTCTTTCCCTCAGAATGACTCTGTTGTGCTGAGCGTCTACTGGAAACAGAACCTTGATGTTCAGAGCCTACTTCCCTAGGGACAAATTCGTGTTCTCCAAAACAAGGAAGGACCAAATTCCAGTCAAGGCCTGAAAACCGCTCGCCTGTTTCTGTTTAGTGACAGCATGGTTCGTACCCATGTTTCGCATCTGCGAAGCACGGATGGAGAAAGAACTGTTCTCTTGGAATTTCACACATCTCACAAAACAGTAAGATGCTCTTGTTACTAAGTGAAGCACGGATGGAGAAAGAACTGTTCTCATTTCACACATCTCACAAAACAGTAAGATGCTCTTGTTACTAAGCTTGTGCTATTTTTGCTTTGAGAAGGAATATAGTCTCATAAATTAAAAACACTCAAAGCCAATAGCAAGATTCACGATGCCTGCTAGCGACCAGACCTCTGCCCCCCGCCTCCCCTGGCCAAGAGGCCGACATGACCCTCTTGATCTCCTGTGGTGACCATCCCTGCAGTGAGGAATGCCAGGCCAACCCTGACTCCACTGGCTCTTGGCCTTCATGTGAAGGGGTGACCATGAGCCCTCTGGGCGAGAGCACTCTGCCTTTGCCCACGCTGAATGAAGCTGCCCAGAGCTTATCAAAGTTCCCATAGGTCTAGAGTTAAATTACGGATTATGTTTATGAAACACGCTGGCCAGGAATTCTTCCAAAAGGGAAGAAAGTGTTTCAGGTCATACCTAAAGCACTTCCCCTAATGGTGGCCGAAATTCAGACCTTGACATTCGGGAGGCCCACTGATCAGATGTCGTAGCTGGGCCTGCTTGAATCATTCTAAAACCTGCCTCGTAATATGGTATTCAGCGTTTTCCATGTTTGCTTTTAGTTATCTCACATGTAAAATGCCATTATTATTATTAACAACAACAACAACAAGCTTTTTGCCTATCCGACTGCAAGATTTTAATGCAGTTTTTGTCAGTGGTGGGAATTCTGTCACAGTCTGACTCATGAGTACACAGCAATGTGCTACATCGTACTTCCTCTTTGAGGGCTAAACTCCCTCCACGCTCAGGGAGGATTTCATTATGCATTTCTCTTCTATCACCAGAAAATTCTTTAGTGGAAGACAGTTTAATATGTGACAGCTTCGAACCATTTTTTTTTCCTCTCTTTCAACCAGCCTTTTACATTGTCTGCTTGAAAACAGGAAACCACACATCTCCACCCCAGCACAACACACCATCCACCAGCACAGTCCGTATCAGTTTGGATCTACAGTCTTTTTCTTCTGAGCGTGGCCAGGTGCCTGCTCCTACCATGCGGGAAACCCCTCCAGGCACTCCCGGTGCGTGTTCTCAGAGCGCTTCTCCAGAACATTCAGGATTGCACCTCCTGGGCTGCAGGCACCCTCCACCCTCCCTCCTTAAGCCTCCGCCCCTGAGCCACTGCCACCCTTCCCTGCTCGAACTTCCCCTTCTCTGCAGTCTCCTTAGCAATTTGCTATCATAAAGTTTGTTTTAAAGGAAAACTGCCCCTCTACAAAACCAAATAAACTGTAGAGGGTCTTAGCCCCTTGAGAGGTTTCCAACTTAGCTCTGTGCCCACCTGAAGCTCCCCCCAGCCCGAGGTATTGGAACTTACATTCAGTGCTTCGCGTCTCTGTCCCGGGCGCCTCTGTCTCTCAACTCTGACTTCTGAGTACTGGCAGTTAGAACAGGAAGGAAGTTAGTGAGAAAAAAAAAAATTGTTTTAAACCTACTTGAAGAGGAAACCCTGGGCTGTCTCAAATCCTGTTCCTTTGCACAGCCTGTCTCTTCATCAGCCAACTTTAGCAGGATTCTTGTCAATTAATGGCACATGTGCGAGCATGACAGCCTGTGTGACGTGGAGATGCATGAATGTGCACGCAGGAGTATAGAGCCTATAGCTATGGGTATTATGAGTAATTGTGAGGCTATGTCTGATGCTCAGGTCATTTTAGTGCTAAGGCTACGGAGGCAAGGAGCCTGAAACCAGCAGCGATACGTTCACATCGGCTCTGCTTTGTACCACTCGCTTCTGTTCCCACTGGGTCCCCGCCAGGTTCGTTATCAGCCAGATATGTTGAAAGTTTGCTGGCAGTGAATGTAGAGCGCTAAGAAACTATGATTGTTAACTGCATATACTTGGTCCTAAATTTAAAAATGTGTCCCTAAACAGATTTTTGGAGTTTTGTTGGTTATAATTCAAGATGTAGCTTTGTATTGCACTCCAAACAATCAAATGTTGTTTGTAATAGTTTTTGCTGGTTTTTCTTCCAACGAAACAAGCAAGCAAAAGGACTGCCTTTGGTTAAACCCAGGAATGAAATTACAAAAGGAAGTAAAACTTCATTAATTCATAGTCTTCTAACTCAGAATTTGTGACAATTTAACAAGTGCCAAAATAGACTTTGTGCCATATTTGAGGAAATGGTTTATGAAGTAATTTAAATGGGAACAAGTTTCGGAGGCCATGTTTAAAGCATCTGAGGAACAGTTGTGAAGCAGCCAAGTCACGTTTATGCTGTATATTCCTGTAGTTGTTACCAATAATAAATGATTATTTAGGTTAATATTTCAATATTCAGTATTTACGCTACATCAATATATTTAGAACTGACTACTCAAGCACATGTATTTGGAGAAACTGACATTTATTTTATTTTCACTTAAATGTATCTTCTTTATTTCCCGTTGGAAACTGATACAGGGTTTGTCTTCTTCTTAGACTCAATGAAATCAAAATAATCAAGGGAGGGGTGGTCATTTCATGTGAGAAAAGAGATTAGCCTAGAAAAATATGAAAAGGAAAATAATATATAATTAAAATGAGTAAAAATGCTAAAAGCCTAATACCACTTTATTCTGTAATATAAAAAAATATAGACAGAATATAGCCCTTGAAACAACATCTATAACTTATTATAAAGAAAGCAAACACTGACTTACATAGAAGGCAGTAGGTTTTACAGCTCTGCACCCTCAAGAGGGGACACATTTACTCGTTCCATAACATTTACCGAGTGCCTCTGTTCTTCCAGGTGCCGTTCTAGTTCCTCTGTGCGGTCACAGACTGCAGGCGACATCCCTGCTGCCCTGTGGAACTTACGTTTTACCGAGGAGATGATGAAAATAACATAGGTAGAGTGCAAGAAATATGTAAAAATCAAAAATGGTAAATTCATTGTCTATATCCCACCACTCATTTCTCATGCTATTAGGGAACAGCTCACTAGGCAAACCTCACTCTTCCCCCCACCCCCAGCCCAAGGTATATTGGAAGGTATGGAAGCATCCCTCTTCAGAAAAATTTGTAAAATCAATATGTATTTTACAGATTTGCCTTATAGATCAGTGCATTTATTGGGGAATGAGAGAGCATTTATAATTTTAGAAAGTTCTAAAAGGAGTCCAATTATCAAAAATATTTAATAATTCCTGGTCATATGCAATGACCCATGAAAAGGTACAGAAATAAACAAGACACAGTCCTAGACCTCAAGTAGCTGAAAGATGTAATGGGGAAGACAGAAATAAACAAATTTAATTTTTTGTGTGAGCCTAGGAAAAGAAAAAAAAATCACATGGGTACTTTGAGAGTACACATAAGGACATCAAGGAAGGCTCCTTGGAGGAAGTAACCACTGTGCTCAGTTAAGAAGGAGAGTAGGTGTTGAGTAGTTGATGTGGGAAGGGTTGGGAGAAGAGAAGGCACTTAAGGTAGAGGAGAAGCATGAGCAGCAACATGGCCATAGCCTCCCACAATGATGTGGGATATGCAGGGAATTATAAGGAAGCAGCTCAAGATTGTTGTAAAGTGGAAGTTACATGTGAATGAGAAATGTACCTGGAGCAGGGCAGGCACAGGGTTCAGATCACCATGGATCTCTTACTCCAGGTTAGTAAGGACCTCAGCCTCAATCCTGTTAGTGACGGAGAGTTGCCGAAAGTAAAGGATGGAAGTGATCGGTTTTGTGTTTCACCTAGTTTACCCTGGCAAACTGATGTGGTTGGATCTGATGTGAATAAAATCGATTCGGAGACTGTTTAGGCTTGAAGTAGAATTATTCATAATGAGATAGAAATGGCCAGATTTGAGAATTCCGTAGGTGAAATTGGCATGCCCTGGTAACTGGTGGGATGTGAAGGATGAAGGATGAGGATGAAGGATGAGGATGAGGAGGAATCGTGAATGACTTCCGGATTTTTTGCTAAAATGACTGGGTCCTTGGGGTTACCACCAACTGAGATAGAGAATACAAAAGAAGAAACAGATGTATAGGGGAAATAAGGACATATGTTTGGATGTGTCTAGTCCTGTGTTTGAAAAAAAATGGTGTCATTTGTTGGAGATGATTTCTGAAAGATAGTGAAATATATAAGCCTGAATTTACATGTCATCAGGCTATGGACAGTAATTTAAACCAGGCCACCCAAAGTGTGGCCTGTGTACCAGCAGACCACCATTACCCAGGAACTCATTTGAAATGCAAGGTCTCAGGTTGGGTGCGGTGACTCATGCCTGTAATCCCAGCACTTTAGACAGAGGTGGGCGGATCATGAGGTTAGGAGTTCAAGACCAGCCTAGCCAACATAGTGAAATCCCGTCTCTACTAACAACACAAAAATTTAGCCAGGCATAGTGGCATGCGCCTGTAATCCCAGCTATTCAGGAGGCTGAGGCAGGAGAATTCCTTGAACTGGGACCCAGGAGGTGGAGATTGCAGTGACCCGATACCACGCCACTGCATTCCAGCCTGTGCTACAGAGCAAGACTGTCAAAAGAAAGAAAAAAGAAAAAGAAAGAAGTGCAAAGTCTCAGGCCAAATCGCCTACATCAGAATCTGAATCTCTCCCTGGAGTTGGACCTGGAAATCTACATTTTAAAAAGCTCTGTACGTAAACTGTGAGGTTTTAGAAACACTGGTTTAAACCATGTAAGTGGATGGGATCACCCAGAAGGAATGTAGAGAGAGTTGGCCAAGCAGAGGGAAATCCTGTTAACTCCACTTTCGGTGAATGCCCTGCTGATGACTTCTTACCTCCTTCTTTGTTAGCACCCTAGCCTTCCATCATTGTAGGATGGCTGGACTTTTGCAGTGTTTCTTTATATGTTTTCTGATTTCATAGTAGTCTCATTAACCCTTTATTCTCATAAGAGAGTAAAAAGCATACTCGTGATCACATCATTCCTCGGTTTTTCAGATCTCTAGGGATCTTTCATCCACTTAGAATAAAATAGAATTCTCTTTTCACCAATATCTGCAAGTTGGTTTATTGTAGTAGCCATCCTCCAGGACAGCCCTCGATGATTCTGGTATTCAACCCTGATCACGCTGTGTCGGGATTGTTCTGTGTGGCCGATGCAATGTGGCAGAAGTGATGGCATGTTGCTTCCAAGGTCGTTAGACATTGTGTTTTTTTTCTCCTGATTTCTCTTAGATTATTCATTCTGTGGGAAGCCAAGCACCATGGCATAAGGACACTCAGCTCCTTATGGACTGGTCCATGTGGTGAGGACCAGAAGCTGTCTGAGTGAGCCATCCTGGAAAGGAATGTTCCAGCTCCAGGTGACTACAGGCCTGGCTAACAGCATGACTGCAACCTCATCGAAGATGTGAGCAGGAACCACCCAGCTGTGCCGCTCCGGACTGACCCATAGAAACTGTGAGAGATAAATGTCTATTGTTATGGGAGGCTAAATTGTGGGGTAATTTGTCTTGTAGCACTAGAATTCTAACATACTCATGATCTGGCCACTTGCAGTCCTCCACACTCATCTCCTAACTTAGCCATTGTTTACTCCATTCCGATCCTGCCCCTCTCGCTAATCCTTTCATTCTCGTTGCGGGAATATTCTTCCTTTAAATAATCATGCCTGTTTCATTTCTTTCTTCATTCCGGTCTCTGCTCATATGTCGATCTCTCAGAGAGGTGTTTCTAACAATTATATTTAAAATAGTGCCTGTATTTCATCATCCTGCTTTATTTTTATTTCTAGCATGTAAATCTCTTGACATATTTCCCAGGTATTATTTTTTCTGTTTGTTATCCATGTCTCCACATGGCTATGAGCTCTATATGTTCAGGGACGTTGTCTTATTCACTGCTGTATCCCAGAGACTAGAGCACTGACTAAAAACATATGGACTATGAATAAATACCAGCAGATGAATGAGAAAGGCCAATATACCAGGAAACATTAGTATTTAGAAAAGACACCTACGAAGGAGGCAAAGGAGAAAAGGCTTGAGAGGGAAGGACACGAAGAGGGGAAGCAGCTCTGCCTGCTGAGTCGGGTCACCTTATTTCAGCTTTGAACAAATATTTATCTGATTGCTACTATGTTGAAGTTGCTATGCATCCTTCTTATGAATTTTAGAATAACAATGTTACTTACCTTCATCCCTTGAAATACTTACAGGTTTATAGGAAGTTGTAAAGAAACGTTAATCCTGTCTCCCCCAATGTTACCATCTTTCATAACTGTGTATAATATCAACCCAGGAAACTGACATTCTCAATTCACGGAGTCTGCTCAGATTTCTCCAGTAATGTATGCACTCGTGTGTGTGTGTGTGCGTGTGTGTGTGTGTGTGCGTATTTCTATGTAATTTTATTGTATGTGAAGTTTTTTCTACCACCACGACCAAGACACAGAACTCTGCCATCACCACGAGGCTTACTTGCTCTACCCTTCTGTGGTCACACCCACCTCCTCACACCCTTCCTTAACCCCTGGTGACCACTAAATTATTCACCTTCTCTATAGTTTTTAAATTTAAAAATATTATATAAATGGATGATAGACTAGATAAACAAAATGTGGTACATATATACACCATGCAATACTATGAAGCCCTAAAAAGGCCATAAAAATGCGTTTAAAAAGGAGATCATGTCCTTCACAGGGACATGGATGGAGCTGGAGGCCCTTATCCTTAGCAAACTAATGCAGGAACCGAAAACCAAACGTTTGCATGTTCTCACTTATAAGTGGGAGCTAAATGATGAGAACACATGGACACACAGAGGGAAAC